AGAATGCAATAAGATTTGTCTGGCATCATATGTTTTTGACAAACTCATGTTGGCTTTTGGTGATGACTTTCTTTGCCTTTAGGTGTTCACCGATTCATTGTTTTATGGTAGATACTCTTGTCACTAAGTGTAATATAATATGTCTTGAAACTTTACACAAGCTTCTAATATTTCATTTTGGAGGCACTTGTAATTAATGTTGGTTAAAATTGGAAATGCTATCCCATACCTGAAGACTACAAGACTTCACTGTAAGACCAGATAGTTTCCCAGGTTATTCAGGAATAGTAGAACATATGCAAAAAGAAATGAGAGAAAGAATAGACCACTTTTGGAGAAGCAGTTTTTGGTTAAGTGGGAAGAAGTTACTTCACTACCTCAGAAAAGAGCAGAATATGCAAAAAGCACAAGTAGTCCATTTGTTTAGCAATCAAAGTTACTATGATGCTGATAAAAGTGACTTATGACTGATCCTCACACTTATTTTGTTAATTTATTTATTTATTTATTTGTATCCCATCTTTATTATTTTTATAAATAACTCAAGATGGCAATAACTCCTCATATTTTCCCCAAAACAACTATTCTGTGAGGTGGGTTGGGTTGAAAGAGAGCATCTCATTGCTCATTATGACCATCACAGCATTCCCATGGTCATGTGATCAAAATTTGAGCACTTGGCAACCAGTATGTATTTATGATAGTTGCAGTGTCCCAAGATAAAAGTAGTCATCAATTTATGATCAGTTACTTAGTGACTTTTTGAAGTTACGACCAATCTGCCTAGAGGTACTTGCAACCCAGTTTCAACAACTGTCCCCCTCCTATGGTCATATGACTGCATCTCAAGCAATTTTGTCTTAATTTCTATTCAAGTGTTTTACTTCAGGCAAACTCCATCTACACAGATATAACTCAAGAGATTCCTGCTACATGTATAGCATCATTACCCATAGATTGAAAGTCTTCACAAGTACAGTTCACTGACTTCCACATAATCTAGGAACCTGCATAAAAATGGTTGTAGTTTATATGGAGGTCAAGTTTTCAGAGATAATCTGAAACCTTACATAATTGGGACAGTATAAAAATCTATGGGGTAATGCTACTCCAAAGGGTAGATACTACAATAAAGAAAGCATATAAGGTCCTATTAGATAGCATTGACTAAAGGATGGGATGCAAAATATATGCACTTGATCAGGTTTTGTAGGACAAGCAGATATGATGGGGAAAAATGGTCCTTTAAATCAAGGGTTCCAACCTGTGGGCCACAGCCCACTATTGGTCTGTAGTCAATTGGACACCGGGCCATGGGAATGGCTGGACAGTGCATGCACTCCCCCCACTCATGCTAGCACCACTGTGAGCATCGCACAAGTGCTAGCGGCCCTGTTTGCAAATGCATGCGGATGCTAGTGGCCCTATTTGCAAGTGTGCATGGGCACTAGCGCTGCTGCAAGTGTTGCATGGGTGTGCATGGCTCCATGTAAATTTGCCTGCTTCCTATTTTCCCTCTGGGATGCCAATCCAGAAAGGTTGGGGACCTCTGCTTTAAATAATCTGACCCTATGACATGAAGTTTATTATAGATGGTAGCAAGCATCTTGAATTGCACATGGAAGCTCTTGGTAATCCCTTCAAATCACTTATCAGAAGTATTACATGGGAGGACCATGTAAATAGCAATAGCACTTAGACTTATCTTTCCTGAGAGTTACTTAAACCAACTTCCCTCATTTTGCTCTTGTCCAGTTGCTGGGAAATGTGGGGTAGTACCTCTGGATGTCCATAACTTCTCATGATGTTGCATTCTTGACAGTTTCTGAGTAGAAGCATCATGTAGAAATATGGAAGCTGTTTAGCTCTAAAGATCACATGCATCAGATTCTTCCCAAGAACCTAGGATGCCATAATGTATCAGTGTAGTAATATGTGTGAATGTGGCCTTTTGTGACTGATAGATGCAAATTTTGTCAATACACAGATTTTTTTAAGTTCCAATTTTTTGGTAGTGGTAGTGGCTGATTTATGCTATAATCCTTCAATTTTGATTTTCAGATCTTGAAAATCTGTTCAAATATTTTGTCTTCTATTCTACTAACCCCTGGTATTGCCAGATTATTACCTACATTTTCTTCTTTTCCATCACAGCTAAATTTAGTGTTTTATAAGCCAAGACATCATCAATTTGAGTCTACTTCCAGGCATTAAAGAGAAAGTAAAGAATCCAAATTTCTTGGGATGAATTATTAAACAATTGAGAAATTAACGGAAGTTTTAGGGGTCTCAAACTTCACCAAACTATAACCACCTAAAATAATATGTGAATGATAAATGTATATAGAGCTTTATCATACTTTCTGAGTTGGCCATAGCATTTCTTTTTGTCTAGGTCATGTTTAGGTTTTCTATTTTTTTTCTATAACTCTTGGTTATCTACAGCACAATTTTCTTTTCTTTCCTTTGTCCTCTTGCCATTTTCCTTAGCATATTTTATATTTTTCTGTGCATTAAATAACATTAAATTAAAATAGTTTTTCAATTTAAAAATCTAGAAATAAAATAAATTTCACTATTACATAAACTTCTACAAATACCCCAAAGGCTATGGGTATATGGATACATAACTGCACATCACACTGAAAGTCACCTGCTGGTAGGAAACTATTTGCCAATCACCTTTGGTTTAGCCATGTCTCAAAACCTGCTTTGGATTTTTTGCTCCTTGCTTTATCTTAGCAACATGGAAGCAAGTTTTAATAGACTATCCCGCGCAAGCTGGTGCAAGCCTTATCAGCTACAAATTCTACAAATTCACATTGTTTTGGTTTTCTTTTCTTTTTCTAAATACAGATATAGACTCCCCCCCCCCCACAAAAAAAAAAAAAAGCTCAGGAGAGAAGCTGGGAAAAATGCTAAACTATATTCCTGTCAGAGCTTTCAGTCTTTAAAACTCCATCACCCTGAAAATATCTCCCTTCTTTTACTATCCTTAGTTGTTGTTGTTTTTGTCAATTAGTAGGGAAGGCCTTTGGATGACAAGTCTGAAGAATTAATATTTTCCCCCTCTGGCTCCAATTTAATATGAGTCACTTTTTAAAAGGATTTTTGATGTCATTTTAATGTAATTCTTTAGTTGCAGAAAAACTTGCATTGCTAATACACAGTATGGTTTTCAGACAGATATTTCTGCATTAATGTTTCAAGACCTTTACCAATTTCCTTCCTTTTTAAGCAGGAGATATAATACATAGGAATATTACATTCAGATATAATCCAATGATTAAACTCTGTGATCATCACAGGCTTATCAATACTTTGATTTAACTAAGGTATGCTGAATGAGTCATAGTGGCTGGGTTCACACATAATGCTAAACCACAAACCTGATTTTAGAAATCCCACTGTTTTAAGCTGGAACTAAACAAATGTATTATGCCTTAGTTTGTATCATGAAGGCATTTTTATGGTCATGAACTTCAGTAGAAGATAACTTTTGCTGATGAAAACAGCTGTCAGTATAATAATGAATTGTTCTGACTTTTTTCATTTTGTGGCTAGTTAGTATTCTGTGATATCGAAAACAGAAGGATAAGTTTGTGTAAATCATGGTGTAAAGACAAAACAAAGTCAGGATCATGGAAACAGAGAATGGAATTGTGGTTGCCAAACCAACCCTTTGATGTTGTAATTATAGCCATTGAAGAAAAGCCGATAAACTTTATTGTCAATATGAAAAATATATTGTGTAGGAAAAGGCTAACCTATAAATAAAGTTTAAATGTTATGATGAACTCCTTTATTGGCTTAAAATGCTCTAGTTATTTCCTCTAAAATAAGAGACCAGTGAAGATATTCATGGCGCCACTGATAACAGTTTTGTTATTTCAGGAACATTGTTTTAAATCACTAAATATATAGATAGCTACTTGTCTTACCCTTATTCCTTAATTGTTGTACAGTAAGAAGATATTTCCCCAAATATTTAAATACTGTGCTAATATTCAGTGAATTTTATATCTTGACAGGGATCATTAGATTTCACATAAAATTGCAATAGAAGCTACAGGAAAAATAAAACCATAACATGAGAAAATAGGCATTGACATAAATTGAACAATAATAATTCTATTATTCAGCTTGGCACCAAAATGAAATTTGGGGGGAAAATGTGTATATTAAAATGATTGTAATACAGTTTTAAAATATGCACATTTTCCACATTTCTGCAACTGTGTTCAAGGACATTTTTACTGAGGAAAGAGATTTGGCAGACAAGAATTCTCTGCTTTTAGTTTTTGTTACAAATAAATTGTTCTATTGACACCTTTGCTGGCAAAGCTACCTGCTTGATTCATGCCTTTCCACAGGAATCACATCTCTGTCATTTAGATTGAAGGGTGTCAAATTTATTTTAACAAAGCACCGCTATTCTGTTTAGATTAAGCTAGACATTAGTATGTGGCCAATGGTTTGATTTCTCATCTTAAATTACCATTAATTTGAAGTCATTCTTGTCAAGGACCCTGGAGACACATCAGCAGAACTTGTACAAATCAAGACTGAACTTTTAGATATTGTGAAAACACTCTCATTGGAAATCAAGGCATGCACTCTCTTTTGAATTCTATTTACCAGCTTGATTATCGCTTCCATATCATTATCAAAACTGAAAGCTCTGCCTGGAGCATGGTATTCTTAAAAGCATAAGAATTATTTGAAAGAAAGTAGAGGAAGTAGAGGAAAGAGATCTTTTCTGAAAAAACAACAACAATGGCTTTTCTGGTTTAAATCAACGTATGGATATTCCACTTTATGGTATTGTATAAATGACAATAACTATATATATTTTTAGAAAAACAGCCTTGTTATTCTCTGGTAACAAAAGAAAGAAACATCCAGGGGCATCTTAAAGATCTTAAAGTGCTTGTGCTTTACATCACTGAAGGAATTTGTTTCTATAATTTAAAGAGAGGAGAAAGATATCTTGAACATACCTTTGGTGGCTAGCCGGACACAATTTATTTTGGTTTCCTGCAAATGACAGAATATGAAAGGACATCAGATTGTTTCTTTATGAAGCATTTAAGAAGGAACAATATCCTTCAGCTAGAGTCATACATAAAGAATATTTCTGGAATATCTATGGCAGTGGTGGCGAACCTATGGCACAGGTGCCAGAGGCGGCACTCAGAGCCCTCTCTGTGGGCACGCGTGCTGTTGCCCCAGTCCTAGGCCTTCAGCTGGGTTTTATAAAACCTTTTCGCTTTAGGCCTCTGCCACCATGTGCAAAAAAAAAACCGGTTTCAATCAGTCAATTTCAACTTCTCGCGGGAAAAAAAAGATCTTGCAAAGTTGAAATTGATTGATTGAACTTTTTAGTCCCACCCGTCTGCTGTTACCACCACAGCCACGCCCACCCAATTGGCCACACCCACCCGGCACTCGATGATGCGTAAGTGGGTTTTGGGTTGCAGTTTGGGCACTCGGTCTCTAAAAGGTTTGCCATCACTGATCTATGGCTAGCATAATAAATATAGGGCTATGCACACAGTGAAAATGGAAGTACCTTGGACCTGACCTGAATGTAAGCATACACTTCTCATCTACTATTCATTTAAAGGAACATGATATTTTTCAGATTCCTATTGCTTCAAGAGTCACCCAAACTTTGATGATGAATTCCTTAAAGGGTATCACTTTTTTCATGCTTATATGAAAATCTGAAACAAGATCAGGTTGCTTTAATGAACAGCAAAGAAATGCTATTTCTGCATGAGACTTAAAGCACTTCAAATCACTTTTGAAGACTATTCAGCCCTAGTAAATGCAAATTGATACCACTGTGCATAAAACCTGAGTGCCATTGTCAGGGAATAGATTGGGGATATAAATTAAATTCAATAGGCACATTAGTGAAAGGGAAATGGTGCAATCTGCAAAAAGGACAAAAATACACTGGCATAAATAGAGTCCTCTAGTGTTCATCACACTCTAGTCACACATGTTTACAAATATATAGAAAGAAATGCATATTTGAAAAAAGATATGCCTAGCATAAGAATATAAAACTTGAAAAAAAATTAAGCTCTACAGAAGAGTGTTAGGGACAGTTACAAATCATTTCTTTTCCTTCCTTCCTTCCTTCCTTCCTTCCTTCCTTCCTTCCTTCCTTCCTTCCTTCCTTTCTTTTTCAGAAAATTGTTAGAATAGAGGAAAATTTTGCAAACCATACAGATTTGATTTACACTCATCTAGATGCCTTTTGTTCAAAAAAATTGTTTATGCCTAATTTAAGAACACATAATTCATACCCAAATGATATATAATCCAGTTGTACCTTGCAATTTGTCTTTATAGTTCTGAAAAAGAAAGATTTGATGGGTGGTAATAAACTACAAATGTTGTTTCTTCCTCTGTTTTACACTGTAAAACATGTGTCTCCAAACACCAGATTTTGAATAAATTATTGTATATAATAGAACTTTATTAATGCATATTTTGCTTGTATAAATGATTGTATATAATAGCGTTCTATCAATATGGTTATTTTGTGCACATTTTGCAAGCATTAATATAGCATTATATACTTACAATTTTCATCTTATATTTTAATAATAATTCTTAAAAAATTAGAACAATACTTTATTATAGCAAATATATTTTATGGTGGGATAAGCTAAACACATGATTCTACATCCGATGAGACCAGTATTATTGTATATCATATTGTTTCATTATATAATACAAACCACCTGTTTACTGGAATGTGTGATTTTTCACTTTATGGACTTGTCAAAAGCCAGATGCTTAAATGAAATGTGTCAGAGTTGGGTGTAAAGGAGGAAAAAAAACAAAGATTTGTATAGAGAAAATATATCAGGTTTCTGATTCAATGAGATTGTGCAACAATGCACAGGAATGTTGACAGAGTAGAAATATGCAGCCCTGGTACCTTATTTAAATTCCCCAACCCCTGCCAAGTGGGTGGAATTCAGGGATTTAAGTTTTTGACAATCTCACCATTAGCATTTCTCAAAAGTTCAGCTTTTATGACCAATATTTTAGATGTAAACATAACAATCTCACAAGATTTGATAATCTTACAAGGTTTCAGCAATTATTAATGTATGCATTTAATTCTGATTGATTTATTTAAAACATTAAGCATTTATATCTTGCCTTTTCTCACACGGTTTGATTTAATTTTTTTTCTGAGAATGTTCTCTATGGTTGTTGAGGATGCCTTAATATTCTGAATTCTGCCCTCCAACCTCAGAAGAAAATCCAAGAATGTTATCAAGGGCAGAAAGCAATAATTAGAAAGGAATATAGAAGTGAGGTTACAATTTTTATCCAATTAAACCATTCTGTTTATACTACCTGATGTAAATGTTTCTCCTGAAGACAAAATCAACATTGAAATTTCATTTTTACTGTGACCAATTCATATTTAATTAAAATACCATGGGAAGAGGAACAGCCAGGCATTGATAAATAGATAGATACAAATCTCATTAAAAGACGCTAATCTGAAATTGTGTGGAAAATAGGAGATACTATTTACTAGGAAAAACATCTTAGATTTACAGTACAATCAAATAAAGAGGGTTTTTTAATGCACCATTTCTATGCCAAGCAATGTTTATAAAGTGAAGTTGATGGGAGGAAAATGGATAGCTGGAAGTAGTTTGGACTGGCACCTCTTATTAAATAATTACAGAATGAAGTGTAAACTTGTTTTGTTTTGTTTTTTGTATATCTGCATGATTTGGAATTATATCAGCTCTTGAGCTGTCATTACTTATGAGTTGGAGGATGCAGGTCTTCAAACAAGAATATAAATAACAACTACACACATATGTGTATCCTTCCTTCTCCCTAGCCTTTACAGAAAATTTGAGTGGAGATTTTCACCTTCCTCCAACAATGGTACCCCTGGGAAATCTCTCTTGTGCATTTTTGGTTTACTCTGTAGTTCATTGAAAGACAGAAAATGTAGTCTGTCTCCCTCCCAGAGATTTTGAGCAGGATTATAGAGGCGGGGTAGGAAGAATCTTTTTTCTCTTATATCAAAGAGATCTTGCTCAAGTTTCCTACTTGGTTTTCTACTGCAAACAAGCTAATACATATGTTGCAATGAACATTAAAGTGACAATCACTTTAATTCTTCCAACTTCAAGCAAATGTGTTATATACTTTGGGTATACTTGTCATAATACAACAAGCTTACTTTCAAATATTAAAACAATCCCGTGGTTTGGCAAACTTGTTTTTTTTTTAAAAGATCCAGGGGATTTATTGTTAAATTGAGTGAATTTTGCTCATGATACACTTACCCCATTTGCTTTACTAAGAGCCTGAAAGTAAATGCTGTAGCTTTTCAATGGTGAAAGTGGAGCATTCCAATAGCCATTGTAGGTTTTGTTGTCTCCCACTGTGAAAGGTTGTGTAACTGGAAGATTGACTGGTTTCAACTCAGCTGCAAAGTAATGGGGGGAGTCAAGACTTGAAGCATTTTTGTAGCTCACTGGAACAGAGAAACATTCAATGATGTCTGCAGCTCTTCGTGATTTCTGTGGCCGTTCTTCTTTTACAACAAGCTGGTAGACACTGAAAAAGACCAGGAACATTTAATGGGATAGGAACAAAAAACTTTTTGGGTAAGAAAAACAATTTAATTCAGAAGAGTATTAGCAATAAAAAAAAAATGGATATCAGGTAGAGAGTCCAAGTGTCTGCATTTACAGTATTGTAGAAAAATCCCAAGAGTTGCACTAAATAACACTGCTGACCAGCATTCTACAAATGTAATAAGTGAAGAGAAGTATTATAATTTTACTGCTATGATGTCAGCCTGAACTGAATTGTCACTTGGCAGTACTCCTGTTGAGCACTTTTGCTGTCTCCCTGCTATAGAACTCAGATAAGAACTCACACAGCTATCTACTAGATCACTGAGAAATTTCCCAAGTGTATGGTGGAAACTAATTGGATCCATAAGGTGCCTTGGATAAATTATCTTAATGGCCCTGCACCCTCTAAGAAGGACAGTGGTAGCTGTGAGTCCCAAAGTGACCAGATAGTGATCTGACCATGACAAATGACTGAAGTTGATGTATTTCATCTTTAGCTTGCACACTACTTGCAGTGAGGTAAAAACCAGATCAAATATGTGGATTCACAGTGTGAATTGGGGCTGTGATTACCTTTTTAATTCCATTTTCAGATGCTCCTGCCAACTGGTTTCCATACTTTAAGTCCAAATAATGACCCAAATAAATTGGAATGAGGAACAGAAAGAAAAGGAACAGCAAAGTTTTGTTGAATTCTGAAAGGCTTATAAGCACATTCAATTGAATCCTCCTTCAGTTGTTGAATGAACATCACTTGTGTAAGGGTTATCGTGGTACAATTAAACATTTTGGAGCTGCAGCAAAATCTACATCCCTACATGAATTTATAACTTGTGAAATTACATTGAAACCTTTAACAGAACTACTTTGATTGCAATAAATTGAATGATTGACATGGTTGAGAAGCCAAGTTAGAAAAAAATTAAAGAGTCAAGTAAGGTATGGAATTATAAAAACTATAATCACAATACCTTATTATTATACCTCCTGGTCCCCGGGTTACAATTTACCAAGCCTTAGAGTCTGGGCAGTGGGTCTGTCCTCAAAGTAGAATGGCAAGAAATTGAATGTAAGAATTGGAAAAATACAAGTAGTCCTTGTTTATTGATTATCCTGTTTAATGACTGAGAGAGAGAGAGAGATGCTTTGCCTGTCTGGTATTCCATTCCCTGCTGCTAACAAGGAAAGAGGGATAGTTTGAGGATACAAGGGATTCAGGAGCATCACTTAGCAGGTAAACCAACATACAAAGAGGAAGGTAGGGTGGTTTCATCAGTAAAGAAATTGCACAAGAAACTGCCTAGGGGAGAATCAAAGTTTGAAGAGCCAGGAAGAAACTAAGAAGAGAAGCAGATTGGAGATCTGATCTAAGAGGAGGAATCAAACACCCAAGAAGAGAAAGTGAAGAACAATAGCTCTACATGGTTTTGTTTTGTTGTGTTGTTCAATGAGAAGTTTTTTCCAAGAGACAGAGCAAGAACATTTTTTTAAATACTGTGCTTTTGAAAAGTAGTTTACCTTTGAGGGAATTCCTCCATCTATTGTGTATGAGAGAAGACAGCTTATTAATTCTGAGTGAGCCTTATTCCAGGACAATGGAAGATTAATCCCATTGATTCAATAGCACAGTGTTGCTTAAAATGATTGTACCTGTGCTTTAATGTCCAAGTGTTTTAATATATCCTTTCTTAATGATGTACGTAACGGCTGTAGAAAGCTCGTAAGAGAGGTGAGAGGTTTTCTTTTTTCTTTTTGAATGCCATGGAAGGGAGAACTTTGTTCCTTGGAGCATCCCAGCTAAAACATTTGTCAGCAGGATTGTTTCCAATTATAAATGAGCTCAATGGGATCCTATTGAGAGATCTCATGGGGAATTGGCTCATTGAATTCAGGGCCAGCTTCTGTGTTGAGCAAAGGGCCATGTTTATGACACACACAAATACAAATTTCTTAGAAATATGCTTGACTCCAAGTGATTTCACAAACCCATTTATGTACCTGTTTGGCAAAGCAGTAATTTGCTACTGCTTTCTTCTTGGATGTTTTTTTACTTCCAAAGTTAGTTTACAATTCTGATATTATGTCTCCCATCCAACTACTAACGGGACTGTTTTACTTAGTTTCTAATTTCAGACAAAGTCAGCCATGTGCTGCCTCCTGTTTATTATGAAATTCAAATATAACAACACATTTTCGTACTTCATAATAAGTATCTGCCAATTTACCTTAAATTGGTATTGAATTTGTCTTGGCTTACTAGTATGGCAAATACTCCAGAATGATAACCTTTAAATTCAACCAATTTATATGTGAAATTTATACAGACTGAAGGATTAACTCATGTCCCTTTCAAGGCATCATCAACATATTTTGTAAATGTTTAACATTCAGTGGATGTCTGGTACTTCCAAGAAATAAGTTTAATTAATCATACAGCATTATTGAAAAATTTTGAAATGATGTGCATACTGAAAACAATTTAAACACAGGAAAAACAGCCACATTTTTCATTCGAAGTTATAGAATTGTTTAGAAAAAACAACAATAGATTTTCTTTGTTATTTTACTAAAGACGAAAAACACATATACACACCCACTTTCCTATCTGTATGTTCTTTAATCCAAAAATAATCTTGATTTTACTTAAGAATAAAGTTAATCTTCATCAAAGAGCTGACTATATTTCAAAGCTTGGGTTACATCAGTTTTTTTCTAATAAATTGTACAATTATATTAACAATGATATGAAAGGAGACACAGTGGCCCAGTGGCTTAATGATGCTGAAACTGCTGGCCAGAAATGGTCTGCACTCCGCCAGTTCGATCCTGACTTCACAAGACCGAGTGTGCTCTCATTGCTCATTCTCTGACTCCTGACCACCCAGCAGTTTAAAAACAGATTGCAAGTAGATAAATGAGTACCACCTGGGTGGGAAAACCTAGCTGCATTCACACGTACAATGGAGTCCTGTGTTATTATAAGTTTAGCTGGTAGTGGACCTGGCTGGATGTGAGGCAACATGACACAAGGCAAGGCAAGACTAGCAGAGGAGCCCAGAAGAGCCGGAAACCCAAGTGCCGCTAGTTAGCTGGTGTAAAGCTAATTTTCCACCACCATTGATACACCAAGCATGGGAGTGCAAGTGCTAAACAGAATGCAAATAGCAATCTAGGCTGTCAGGTCTGCATTGTGTCTAGCATTTTCTGATTTCCCTGACATTGAATGCCATAGGATGGATGGATGGATGGATGGATGGATGGATAGATGGCTAAATAAATAAATAGATAGATGATAGATAGATAGATAGATAGATAGATAGATAGATAGATAGATAGATAGATAGATAGATAGATAGATAGATAGATAGATAAGCAAGCAAGCAAGCAAGCAAGCAAGCAAGCAATGATATTAAGAACAATATCTGGAACAATTTCATGCCTATGATTTCTGCAATGGTATGTGAAAATGATACTGCCTAGAGAACAATCAGATGCGGGGGGAGAGGGAAAGAAGATCCTGCAGCTGCATAACAATCAGAGAAAGAAACTAAGAAAAGATCTTCCCTAACCTCTCAGAATGTAAAAAGAAACAGCGAGAGATTTGTACTTCCAGACTTGCAAATTTCTGTCAATGTAGCCTTATAATAAAAAAGAATTAGCTCATTTGTTCTCTTTGCTCTGTGATCTGTCTGGGAAAGCAGACAATTTTCTACCTCTTACACTATCTTTAATCAATTTATCTAAGGAATGCACTTTAGGAAAACTTGTTGAATGGGATTTGATATTTTTTCAGCAGAGTTTGGCAACTCTTCAATAAACATTAATTTCCCCAATTAATTTAATCTCATAAATAATGTATTAAGTAGCAGCTAGAATTCTGAAAAAAATATAGCTGTCTGAATTATGATCACAAATCCTGCATCTATCATAATAGAGTTCATTTCTGTTTTTCACATGAATTTATCAGAACCTACAAGGGATAGAAACTGTACTACATTTCTCTTTAGTATTTTATTGCTTATTCTGATTTGAAAATGCATAAGTATCTTAATTCAATATTGCTTGATCCACTAAGGCATTTTTAATTAGAAGACACCAAAATCTTTAATATCTTCATAAATGATTTAGATGAAGGAATAGAAGGGGAACTCATCAAATTTGCAGATAACACTAAACTGACAGGAATAGCCAATACCTCAGAAGACAAGCTCAGGATCCAAAAAGATCTTGACAAACTTGAACAATGGGCCCTCTTATGTATTGAGGTTTACTACCTGGAAACTTCTGGAAACGGTCAAACTGCTGCACCTGCTTGAGCTCCAGACTGACTGTCTACATGTTAATTAGCTTGTCTTTTAAACGGGAAATATTGCTTCAATTCTATTGGCTGCCGCTTAGTGGTGACCTGTATAAATACTGGTTAAGCAGCAGTTAGTGCTGCTTCTGTTGTGAACTGAATAAAGAGTTGCTGTTTGCACCATTCACCTCTTCAATGCCTCACTGAACTGAAAACATAACAGGCCCTATCCAACAGAATTATATTTAATGCGGAAAAAACCAAGGTTTTATACCTGAGCAGGAAAAACCAAAGGTACAAGTACAGATTAAGAGAAACCTGGCTCAAAAACAGTAACTGTGAGAGGGATCTTAGAGTCCTAGTGGATGATCACTTGAACATGTGTTCAGCAGCAGCAGCCAAAAAAGCTAATATAATCCTGGGTTGTATAAACAGAAGCATAGAATCAAGATCATGTAAAGTATTAGTACCACTTTATAAAATCCTAGTAAGATCACATCTGGAATACTGCAATCAATTTTGGTCACCATACTACAAAAAAGATGTTGAGACTTTGGAAAGAGTTCAGAGAAGAGCAACTAAGATGATCAGGGGCCTGGAGATTAAAATATATGAAGAATGGTTCAGGGATTAGGTTTGGCTAATCTAAAGAAAAAAAGAAATAGCAGTATCCCAATATC